TTTAACCATCGCAGTTTGTTAAATTCAGTATGCTGCAATACGAAGAGCGAGAGTTGCATGACAAATAGTTGTGAGAATTGCACTTAAGACATCAAAACTGTTTTGAAAGATATTTTTGATTACTCAGCAATGACAAAGTGGAAAGCTTGGCAGAAAAATTAAGGAAAATACCAGGTGGTAGAAAAAACAACCCTCGTTACAAACAGTTGTAAAATAAATTAATGAGCTGTTACAAACTTTTAAATTTCATTGCTTGGTTTAAAAGGTGCAATCAGCACACTTTGATGATGTTAAGTTAAACAAGTGTACCGGTACAGCTGTAAACTTTTCTCTAACGCCTCAAGATGAGTTCCAGAGTGCACATTGGGGCCATAAACAAGTTAGGCCTACTTTATTCACAGCTTGTAAGTATTTGGTACGAGAATGGAGTCAAGTACTATGTTGTAATAAGTGATGTTTTGACTCATTATATAAGGAATCAAGTTGGGTTTTTTTTTTAACTGTTGTTAGCCATTTCAAGGAATTTTATTATGAAGAGTTGAGAAACTTGTTAATATTCTCAGATAACTGTTCTGCTCAATTTAAGAGCAAATTCACTATTTCAAACATCTGTTTCCTTGCCAACAATTTGAATGTGGTGAATGTTGAGTGGAGCTCATTTAAACCTAAAATCGGCGGCCAACTCAAGCGACAGATCTGGATTAAGATCAAATCCCGCTCTGTGATCATAAACACAGCACAAGAGTTTTTTTATGCCTGTGTTTAATCTGTGAATCAGTCCAAGTTTGACCCAAAACAAGACGTAGCAGACTGGAAAAATGCCACAACAATGGGAGAACAACACAACAACACAATTTTAGCAGGATGTTCATGAACTACAGTAGTCTCTTCAACTACAGTAGTCTCTTCACAATTGAGATATGACAAAATAACTTAATTTTTCATTTGTTGATTAATTTGTAAAAGGTTGCTGATTAAGGTTATAAACAAACTTCTACTCCTGATTAAGGCAACCCCTATGTAACTGCAAGTCTTAAAATAGATCATCAATAATATTTGAAAACAATATTAATATTTTTATAGTGAAAATGTAACATCCAGCACATTGGCACATACAGATTGGCTGGCCTCTGGATTACTTAAGTATAATTGCTAATTGTAAGGGTTTTACCATAGATAAAACATGTGTTGCTAAGTCTATGATTTTACCTTTGCAATCCTAGCCTAATATTTTTGACCCATTATTAAATTCAAACCTGAAGGTTCATCCTCAGTCGGAGACTAGGTCAGCCATAAACTATACAGGTTTGTAAAAACCCATCAGGTGGATACCGGTACTACCTTTGACTATTGATGCAACAACACTACCGACTATGAAATTGCTAAGGTTAGCCATCAAAACCAGTATGAAAAATTGTCAAAGTTTGAGGTTGGCACTTGCCGATGGACAGCCAATCCGCGTAAGAGAGGAATTTGAGGAAAAAGTAATTTTTAATATTAGAATCAAACTAATTATGCATTACTATGAGGTACAAGTTAAATTCAACAAATAAAAAGAGTAAATTTGAATATTTTTATTTTTACTGCTTTTTTGATGATTTGAAGTTGCTATACTGAAGACCCAGATTACTCTTTGTAAAAATGCTGAAGTTTTGAGTTCTCTGGTGGAGGCACCATAGTTCACTACCACATTAGACTGTGACCAGTTTGCAGTTGAGGTTATGCTCAAGTGACAACACCAAAATGAATGATCAGGCAAGATTCTTTATGAGTTTTTTAAAAAGTCCTAGAAAAGATGGTCGCATGTAACATCCGTTACACAAAAACATGAAAAAGTTATTTTTTTATATGAATGGTCTAAAGAAAAATAATGAAAGTTTCTAAAAGTAAGGTTAAGGTCTGCACATGTTGGTCTATACCCTAATGTTTACATATTTATGTAAAAATACAATTTTATAAGAGGTTTAAATCTTGTGACATCCGTTACGTAACGGATGTTACAAGCCTTAAATAGGTGTTTCTGACTGCACTTACTAAGATTTTGTTTTAAATTCTTTGGCTGTTGTTTAACATAACCTCTAATTGTCTATGCTGCAACACAGACAGTGAAGGTTGCATGACAAATGTTTGTGAGAATTGTAAGACTGATGTGAAGACTATTCTAAATGAAAATACTGACTACTCCGTAACTGTAAAGTGGAAATCATGGCGGAAAGAGGATGGAAAGTATCAAGTCATGGAAAATTCAACGCCTCTTCACGATGTAGGCTACTCGACAAAATAAATGAGACATTACCTGCTTTTAAGTTTCACTGTTTTGTAAAAAATGTCCAATCTGAACATTGATAAAGGGTCAGCAGTAATACAGATTGATTACGCAGAAAACTTTGCCCTAACATCTCAAGATGAGATACAAAGTGCCCATTGGTGCCATGCTCATGTAACACTGTTTACCGCATGTATTTGGTATGAACATGGAGTAAAATCGTACGTTGTCGTTAGTGATGACATGTCACATTCAAAGGAATGTAGCTGGGTTTTCTTAAAGGCGGTTGTTGATGATTTTAAGCAGTTTGAGTACGAAGAACTTAAAACCCTCTCAGTTTTCTCTGACAATTGCTCAGCCCAATTCAAGAGCAAGTGTACAGTGTCCAATATCTGTTACCTGGCTTCTGATTTGAACTTAACAGATGTTCAGTGGAGCTCTTTTGCAGCTGGACATGGCAAGGGTGCAGTAGATGCTATTGGTGGCCAGCTGAAGCGAAACATTTGGATACAAGTTAAGTCGAAATCAGTGATCTTAAATACACCACAAGACTTTTTCAATGCATGTCAGACATATTGCACCTTGGTTACAACCCTGTTTGTCTCAAAAGAAGATGTTGATGCAACCGGTGACAAGTTACTCAAAAAAAGATGGGAACAATCTGTTGAGATAATTGGAATACGAAAATACCATCATTTCCAGAAGCTAGATGATGATCATGTACTAGCTGCAGTAACGTGCAGATCACCCATGCAAAAACATCAAGTCATCAAGGCTGAAAAATCAAAACAGAAGAAGACTCGTGTGAGATATTGTGATGTATATTCAACCGATTCAGAGGACGATTACAGTAGTATTGGGGGATTGGAAGAGCGACAAGAAGATGAGAGTGAAGTTGTAGAAACTTTGATTGACCAAGATGAGTTGGTAGAAGAAAGTCAAATTATCCCTGACAAATATTTTCTGGTAAAATACCACACTCACAGGAACAATATGTTTTATGCAGCCGTTTGCCAATCAGCTGTTACCGATGATGGGGAAGTTAGTGTCTTATTTCTGACCAGCCATGGAAAAAACGGACGAGTCTTTAAAGTTGGTGAAGAAGGAGAGAAATACATTGGTGTGGAGAAAGTAGTAAAAATTTTAGCCAAAATAATAGCAGCAGGAAATAGGCTTTACTATGAGTTTACTCGACCTCTTCCAGTGACGTAATTAAATACAGCTAGTAAACAAGACCACTGCGAACAGTTAAGTTCAATTTATTCAAATAATTATATTCATAACTGGTAAATAGTTTTAAGTAATTGTGAGTGTCAGTTCTATGTAAAACAAATCCAATGGTAAAACAATATTTTTAAATAAACAATTTAGTAACCTACTTTGTGTTAACTTATTACCAGCTGCTGCATTTGAACGTATTCTATTTATATAAGAACAATTAATGGTTTAAGGCTGTAATATGTGATAAATGTTAACAATAAATAAGTAATAATTTGCATATCTGACAAAAGAATTATGAATTTCATGTAAAAAGTTTAGTTTTGAAAGAACTAGCCAAATGTGAATAAAGTGTAACATCCGTTACAAAATAAGAGTAACATCCGTTACACTAGTAAATAATTATTTTAAAATTGCCTGATAATGTTTATTAAAACAAATAAGTGCAAATAAATACTATACTTACTTCAGTAAGCCTACATAATAGCATTTTTCATTTAAAATTTGTAGATGAACTGAATTTTCAATGGAATGACATGATTATTTAGGCAGGTTCACAATTGTGTAACATCCGTTACGCGACAAAATAATTTTGTATTCGTTTATTCATCAATGAAACATACCCAAACTTACCCTCCATATTAAGACCAACCTTATTTACCAACCAAAAGTCTTAAAATGGATAATTAATAATATTTAAAGTCAATATTAACATTTAATTAGTGAAAATGTAACATCCGTTACATACGGATTGGCTGTGGAGTGGAAATGTAAGCCTTTTTTAAACATTCTAAAACTATTAAGGCCTACTTGCACATATTTTATATGCATTCTTAAGGCTAAATATAACAAAGGAAGGTTCAAATAACAAGATATGATAGTATATAGGTCCAAAAGAGTGATAAGCCGTGGTTACACTAGCCCCCTGGTTACTCTTACCCCACTTCACCCTATTGATGATTTTCAATCGATAGGTCTATATCGATATTAACGAATTGATACCTATCAGCTGACAACTATGATTAGGCCTAGTAAATATTGATCAGTATAAAAAAAAATATTGAAATGAAACTGTTCCAAAACAACCTAACAAAACTTGCTGTAACATTTAAAAATTCTGTTTAATATTCACCACATGCCTTTTCTAAGTTATAATCAAACGGAATTTTTAAAATGGTACGGTACAGCAAGTTTGGTTGGTTATGTTAGGTTAGCTTAATCCATAGATTTTAGCCTAAACAAGATCAGTTGTCATTTTGTAATGGATCGTAAAGGGAAACAAAAATATCGATATAAGTTATCGATTAAAAATCGTCGATAATAATGAATGTTCCCTTTAACAGGAAAGTAACCTAAAAAGTCTAGGCCTGCCTGTAAAAATGGGCCTGACAACAATGGTTTCTTTGAGCTTAAAATCTTTACAAAATTATGTTAAATTAACTTATATAGGCCTAGGCTAGGTAGGCCTGCCTTAAGTTAGAATTAGGCTAGACTGTAGAAATTAATGTTAACTCACTATGCAGGTATGAGAAGCAATTTTATACATGATACCATAAACACCAATGTCCAAAACATTTTAATTGAACTAGGCCAAAGCCTAGATTTCCAAACGTTACAAATTATTACAGTAATCTAGGATTTTGAGCTGTAAGAAGTCATGACTACTACACAGACACGAACTTAACAATTTAACCTAACTGTTGGATTGCAAGTAAACTGCAACTTGCCAAGGATGCAAATAAGCAAATTAAATAGCTACAGCTTAGCTTTAGCATACGTGCAAGCGTGTATACCGCATGAACGCATGGCGATGGCGCAAAAAAGGCGCATTCATTCAACGAATCTATAATACACACAGAGACAAACACATCACAACCACAACAGACAGACAACGAGACAAGAGACCAAGAGACGGGTCTGACTTAGGGGAGGTACGAATGAGGCATTAGTTCAAAATTCCTCCGTGAACAGCGCTGTAGTAGAGAGCACTTTGGCAATGAAGGTTTACTAATACTAATCGCAAAAATCGTTCTGTTCATAAAATAAAATTATAAATGCCTCAAATTCAATTTTATAATTTTTAAAATATAAAATTAAACTATCATAACCTAACCGAACTAACCAAACTTGCTGATAATTAAATAATATAACAAATGTTTAGTTATGAAAAAAATTCTGTTTATTAAATAAAACTAGAAATTGCTAAATTAAAATTTTATAATGACTTATAATAAAATTAAACTGTCATAACCGAACCAAACCAACCAAACTTGCTGACAATGAAAATATCTTGGACAAAAAGTTAGTACTACCAGCGGGATTCGAACCCGGGACCTTCAGCATATCAGGCCGGCACGCTGACCACTAGACCACCGAGGCCGATGGCCACTGACCGTATTGGTTCGGTAATGGCGTTCCTTCAGCTAATAAGAAGTCCACAGCTGTCATCGTAGCCTCTTCTGTACCTCCCCTGAGTAAATACCCCAAGAGACCAAGAGACAAAGACCAAAAAAGACGAACATCCAATGACGCCAATGACAACATAGAATAGAATAAAGGGGTGGGTTCCATAATATCGACAACCGTAGAAATTGATCGAAACTGAATTATTCCCAGTTTGTCGACACTGGAATATTCCCACTTAACCGACATCCCAAATAACCGACGTCGCAAATGATCGACACCACAAATTGTCGACATCCCATATTGTCGACAATGAAATAGTTTCACTATGTCGACACTGAAATAGTCCCAGTATATCGACAAGCTCCCGTTCTTCGGAGCTTCTCTTGAAAAGGAGTTGTTCTAATTCATCGTTCAGTTCCTCAACTCACGAGTCGTAATATTTAACAGCTGTTTCAATTAAACAAGTTGGTTCTGTTCTATGATGTTCAATAACATTAGAGTTACAAGGATTACCAACAGGGTGCAGCACTATTATTTTTTTTAAATTTATGACTACAGCCAATTTACAACCAAAAGGTGAGTGAGCGTAGCGAACGAACTTCAACCTGGAAGCGAGTTAGCGTAGCGAACGAGCTAACCTGAAGGCAAGTGGGCGGAGCGAACGAGCTCCAACCTAAAGGTGATTGAGCGTAGCGAACGAACTTCAACCAGGACGTGATTGAGCCATGCGAACGAGCTAACTTGTGAAGTTAAACGGGGCAAAGCCCGCGGGTACAGCTAGTATTAAAATATGTTAAACAATATTCCTTTCGATTAAAACCAAAATAAAAAAAGTTACATAATGCTCCTTTTCGTATGTAAACACTTTTATTTTCTTGACATTTGAAATAAAAACAAAAATAATATGACATTTAAAGTCGCAGTTGGGCCATGGCTAATCATTAATTCTGTAGCACTTAAATAGTTTACAAGCTGCTGGGGTGGCGGGCAGGTTGACTATCCAGACTATGTGTAGCGTGTAGCTAAATTACATACGATTGGTAGCGGGGACACTTTTTTAATTAATGGTTCCTGTGAGCACACTTTTAGCACAGTTTTTTGGCATGGTTTAGAGATCTGTAGCTGAAATGGGCGGGCTGGGTCATTTTATTACCCTTACCATTTAGGGGTTATTTGTTTAGTAACGGGGGTGGCACAAATTTTTTTATTAATGACTCCTGTGAGCACACTTTCAGCACAGTTTTTTGGTATGGTTTATAGATCTGTAGCTGAAATGGGCGGGCTGGGTCATTTTAATACCCTTACCATTTAGGGGATGTTTGTTTAGTAACGGGGGCGGCACACTTTATTTTAATAATGAATCCTGTGAGCACACTTTCAGCACAGTTTTTTGGCATGGTTTATAGATCTGTAGCTGAAATGGGCGGGCTGGGTCATTTTATTATACCCTTACCATTTAGGGGTTATTAGTATAGTAACGGGGGCGGCACACTTTTTTTTATTAATGATTCCTGTGAGCACACTTTTAGCACAGTTTTTTGGCATGGTTTATAGATCTGTAGCTGAAATGGGCGGGCTGGGTCATTTTATTATACCCTTACCATTTAGGGGTTATTTGTATAGTAACGGGGGCGGCACACTTTTTTTTATTAATGATTCCTGTGAGCACACTTTTAGCACAGTTTTTTGGCATGGTTTATAGATCTGTAGCTGAAATGGGCGGGCTGGGTCATTTTATTATACCCTTACCATTTAGGGGTTATTAGTATAGTAACGGGGGCGGCACACTTTTTTTTATTAATGATTCCTGTGAGCACACTTTTAGCACAGTTTTTTGGTATGGTTTATAGATCTGTAGCTGAAATGGGCGGGCTGGGTCATTTTATTACCCTTACCATTTAGGGGTTGTTTGTATAGTAACGGGGGCGGCACACTTTTTTTTATTAATGATTCCTGTGAGCACACTTTCAGCACAGTTTTTTGGTATGGTTTATAGATCTGTAGCTAAAATGGGCGGGCTGGGTCATTTTATTATACCCTTACCATTTAGGGGTTATTAGTATAGTAACGGGGGCGGCACACTTTTTTTTATTAATGATTCCTGTGAGCACACTTTTAGCACAGTTTTTTGGTATGGTTTATAGATCTGTAGCTGAAATGGGCGGGCTGGGTCATTTTATTACCCTTACCATTTAGGGGTTGTTTGTATAGTAACGGGGGCGGCACACTTTTTTTTATTAATGATTCCTGTGAGCACACTTTCAGCACAGTTTTTTGGTATGGTTTATAGATCTGTAGCTAAAATGGGCGGGCCAGTCGTGATTCTGGCCCGCCCAAATACAATTGATTATATCATAATTATTATAAGAGCACACTTTTTTTTAATAGCAGTTATAAAGAGCACACTTTTAGCACACTTTTTTGTATACATTAAAAAAAAGTGTGCTGGAATGGGCGGGCCAGCTTCACGTCACTCATGGCTTCTTATGACACCCGCCTCACGCAAACATGGCGGCTGGCGACACCATCGATATATAACTGGGCGACACGCATCTTTGACATTCAGTGCTACCTCCAGTTAGAATTATAGCTCAGTGCAATAACTAGATTTTTCAAAGAACTAGACCACGAACAATAGTATTAAGTCTTGGTTTCGGTAATTCTTATAAATAAACCTGGACAAATATAGCTACAAACATAATCTTTTTAATTTTTAGTGTAATAATTATGCAAAAATTACTTGTTTCCATGACAAATATACATAACTCATTTAAATTTATATAAACTATTTTTAACACAATATATACGATTGATATTTTATATTATATAGGTTAGTGTTCGAAACCCTGTTTTCTATCCTGATTCATGTGAAACAACAACAGGCTAATAGATTATATAAACTTATTTGACAAAAAACGCGTGAAAAAATCAAGTTATTTAAGAATTTTTATATTATTTTGAGAATATCTTTTAAACCAATGCATATACGGAAGAAATGAATATGACCATTCTTGTAGAGAATTTCATCATCTTTCTTTTTATGATTTACATTTTTTCCGTAAGATGCACGGTGTTCAGTGATAAGTAAAAAACTAAAAAATTGGGTCTTTCCCCCCCCTCCCCCCGCTGAAACAGCAGGGCCAGGGGCGGGGACTTTTGGTATTTTTATCTTCTAACTACCCCGAACTTATTCCCACAGAACAAAATTTCCCTCTCTCCATGTCCTCTACAATCCCTTTATTGACTGGACTAATGGGGCACAACAGGAGCAGGGGCAGACCAAGGCAGACACTCAAGGCCCCCAGACACTAGACAGATGACGAGATGACAGAACGACAGAACAGTAAACAACTCTTTTGCTTCAATTGTATGAGAGTCGTTCATTTGAGATCAGTTCAATTTTATGGTTTGTTTGTGCATGCGCAATAGGCTAGTCCAATTCCTGCCCTGAAACGCTCGCATCGATCGCACAGTACTAGTGATGGGATAACCGAATGGTTTCCATGACCGAATAATCAATCAGTTATTTTTTGCGTCAATCGGTTATTTTTAGTTGAATGAATCACCGAATCAATTTTAGTCATTATTCACTATCACAAACCACAACTAATTTTTATCCTATGGGAAACTGAATGACATTTAGTCTTTCAGCGTCAATCGGTGATTTTTAGTCGAACGAATCGCCGAATAAATTTTAGTTACCTGATGATGTGACAAACTAAATCAATGATTAAATCAACTAAATAACTAAATCACCGAATCGCACGGTAAGACTAATTTAACCGAACCAGGATAAAATAACCGAATTAGTCTATTCAGCATCAATAACCGATTGATTCGGTTATTTTCATTCGGTGATTCCCACCACTACACAGTACGCACACTGCACACTCACACTGCCAGTAGTGAAAACTTACTATCGATAGTCACACTATCGATAGTTTTCGATAGTTTTTTAAAAACTATCGATACTATCGATAGTACTATCGATAGTCACTCAAATGGAATTTTAATGCATATAATATTGTATATATCCTGCCTGCATGAGTTTAAACAATGGTTTCTACCTAGTCGAAGATAAAGCTGTATCAGATTATTAATTTTAACAATTTATGAGTGACGCCCTGGAGCCCCCTTTATGTTTTTTTTTCCAAAATATTACAACATTTGTATAAAATAACAATAAGTTTTTTTTTAAGGGTTACAACAATAAAAAAAGAAAAATTCTCTTACTATTTTTTTTTGTTATTCACTACAAAAATATTTTTTTACTCACATAGCATAAATAATATATATATATATATATATATATTTTTTATGACAATCTAAAACCATAGATCAATGGAAAATACCGTATACCGGTGTCTACTATGTATGCTAAAACCCACGAGGCAAATGTACCCATAAGTCCGGTAGTGAATTAGCAAATGCCCCCGCTTTCAAATGTTTGAGAAGGTAGCCTACTTGTCTACCGAGCTTTTCTACAATGAATTAAAAAAAAATAGTCTATAATATTAACTATAGGTATGCATTAACAGACACACAATGAAATGTAAGAGTACCAGATAATGATTTCTTTACTTAATTTAACGTAAAAAAAACTATCGATAGTCTCATCGATGGTATAATACTATCGACCCACTATCGATATTTTCAAACTATCGATACTATCGATAGTACTATCGATAGTAAGTTTTCACTAACTGCCAGTGCCAGTTGCCAGTCAGACGAGTCAGATCAGATGGCCGATAAGAGCTAGGTTTAAGTGGTTTAAAGCTTTCACTTGATGAAACACCATGAAATAATTTCGTGGATTGTTGTCAATCGTTGTAACTTGCCGATTAATTATTGTCAATAATTCGAAAATGAGTGACAGTAAAAATGATGAAGAAAAACCTAAATCTGATTTGAGTTTTTTAGAAGAAGATAAGGAATTTGAAGAATTTCCCGCTGAAAGTATGTAAGTTAAACTTAACATTTTTACTAACAGCCTATGCCTAGCTCTCATTCTCTTATCGAATCTAATACACAATTAACATAATAGAATAACGTGCTAAATAATAGAATAACATCATTTTAAAAACCATGAATTCTATGATATAGTAAACTTAGGCCTTTTTTTCAATCTGCAGTATTTTTCAGTGTTTTAGTGAATTTCCTTATACTTAGGGAAGATGCCTAGCAAATACCATGCATTAGGTGGCACTGAAAGGCCTAGGTCCGGGACCAATTTCTTTTAATTTTGTTGTCCCCAGAGGCCAAAAATGGTACAGTTTCTTAACTGGGCTATGCTAATATCGATTGAAAATATAATTTAATAATTAATATTTTTACTAAGTTAACTTAGATCAATTATAACTGTCATAACCTAACCTAACTAACCAAACTTGCTGATAGTGAAAAAATGGAATGAAGGTTTACTAAGCTTAATTGAATTGATAGTTACAATTGGTATTAGCATAGCCCAGTTAAGAAACTGTAGGCCTACCTGCCTAAAACACCATCCGTTCAAAATGTTATAGTTATAATATGTAATTAAACATACAGGATAAAAGTCCCTTCCCCCCTAAGTCAGAATGACAGAATGTTTGGTAATTCAGTTATTTAGTCTAGCTTAGGTGTTTCCAAACAAATTTTTAATTTTTTGTTATCTTGCTATGCTGAATACTTTTTTACCTCCTGAATTCAAGTTATACCATTAGTTTTCACAGCTAATGGATATGTATTACTGAAGATACGGTATCACTGCTAAAATGTGCAATGTTTGAATAAACAGGGTGTAAGACAAACCACATTTTCAAGTGGAATCACAATAGCCTATTGGCCTATTATAAGTCAATCCTCATAAGAAATTTGCTAAATTGGGTTTATGTAGGTAGAAAAATGGTGCTGTTCTTTCATAACCTAACCGAACCAAACTTCTATTCAGAAAACTCCGTTGATGTCACTAAAGGAAGGTCAGGGTGGTTGGTCAGGCTTTATGTGAATCCGTACCACTGTATTAAAACCTTTGGAGGTAGGTACACATTTCAAAATATTATTTTGAAGTGTTTTTACAGGGTTTTAATTGTCTAAAATCTTTATCAAAATCGTCGTAGTTGATGTGAACAACCTACAGATTGTGCTGATCTAAATTACTAATTTCTGCCAAATACACAATCTTTTTAACCAAGTCAAACTTAGGGGAAGACTTATGATGAGTTACAGCAAATGTTATGACCCATCAACCTGGTCAGCAAAAAAGAGGTATAAAATATAATTTTAGACACAGCGTGACTACACTGAAAAAGAAGATCATCACTTTAACACCTAATGTTTAGTTTTTCCCCCTTTCAAAGTCTCTGTATTTAATTAAAAATTGTATTTCGTTGTTACCATACAAATACTAGGTACTTGTCTGTTAAATTGTTGTCAGGCCCGCAGAGAGAAATCTCGGGCCCCTGGGCAATCGTTGCCGCGGGCCCACTCCACTCCCCCATCCTACATCCCAACTACATTTTAGACCAGGCCCGGCCCGGGCCCGGGCCCCTTGTAGGCCCGGGCCCCTGGGCAATGCCCCCGCTGGCCCCCCCTCTCGGCGGGCCTGATTGTTGTCTTTGCATTTAACTATAGGTTTGTCGTCTCTCTAGTCAATTTGATTTTATATTAGTCTATATATTTATCTTTCTCAGTTGTTATTGGTTGTTAGCTTGTGGGTTTGTTGTTATTGTTTCATATTGTTTATATTATTATGGTATTTATTTATTGTTGTTGTTCTAAATTATTTATTTATTAGTATACCTTTTGTTATTTTGTCAGTTTTTGTTTTGTTCGACTAGGTCTGTCATTGTTACTGTTGTTTGTTATTAGATCATTATTATATTGTTGATTTTATTTCTAGCCTATAAGCACAAAATTTGTTATTATCAATTAAGCCATCCTGAGTTTAATGTTTTGATTTGTATAGCTGTAAAATGGAGATGTCCGTTGGAAATAAATAAATAAACTAAAAAAAATAAAATAAAAAAAGTAAGTAAGTAAGTAAGTAAGTAAGTAATAAAAAAATAAGTGCATTCTGTGACTGGCTCACACAACTACATTCTTTTTTAATAAAAAATTGGCTACAGTTGGTCCATATGGATGGGAAGTCTACTTTAGTATCCAATAGTCAATGGTACCAGTACAACTTTCCATAGTGTAATATTGTTTTATTTGTCGTGCTATTGCCCCACAAAGTTTATCTATGTGGAACTTAATACCACTCCACCACTCCACCTGTCATCGCTTGTTTAGTTTAATAAATACCCCCGCTGCAGCAAACCTGCCGACTAAGCGAATTTCCATGTGTCTGAATCGATTTTCAATTAAATCAATTTAAATAACATTACTGTAGGTTTAACAAGTACCTACTTAGTAGGTTTTACTGTTGCAGTACTAATAAAGTGTGTTTTTTCTTAAAATATTATATATAATAGTTTAGTATAAAAACAATTTTCCAAATTTGATCTAAATACACCCATAAACAAGCAAACTACAACATTTTACAATATTCTCCATAAGAATAACAAAGGAATTTTTAATTTACAATTATTTTAATTTCCTCCGTTACCAATTACCGAACAAATACACTTTGATATACTAAATTTTTGTGGTTTTTAAGCTCTACAAAATGGTTTGGAAAGAAATTGCTAAATTTTATGTTTTTTGGGTCAGAAATGGGAGAAACCAATTTTTACCCCATAAAACCCCCCCATGAACCCTTTGAAAGAACTTTTTTTAAGCTCTTTAAAAAGGTTAAAAGAAAAATTAAGAAATTTTATGTTTTAAGGGTCAAAAATGAGAAAAACCAATTTTTAACCCATAAAACCCTGTTCCCATGGGCCATGGGCCGATCATGCTGGTTCACGAACTCACGAAGAGACGGAAGAAAATCATAAACCTAAGTATATGTTGATATGCACATAAAATTAAAGGTCCTTATTTGTAAAATACAATGCCACAAAATTTCAGCTCAAAAGAACAACTGAGTAAAAAAATGGCAGTAGTCCAAAGATTAAATACCCCCGCCGCAGCAAACCTGCAGACTAAGCAAATTTCCGTTAGCCTGATTGGATTTACACTAAAATGCCTCCTTAAAAATATCACATTTATTCCTTACTAGCTGTTGTACCCGTGTTTTGCAACGGGAAGAGGACACAAAATAGAAACATTTTAATCTTTACATCTGTTGCTATAATAGTTACACATCCCCCAACGCTTTTAGAAACAAAATTCAACTTTTATGGCCAGCTAATAGAAATGTTTAAGTTATGACTTTAATCTGGTAAGCAGTGGATACCACCATTTCATCTCCCTTAGTAACATATCTTTTTATTTATTATTGACATTTTAAATTTCAATTTTGAAGTTACTACTAATTATTAAATTTATATGAACATTTTTTTAAATGTCACTCTTCTTTAACCTATATTAAATCACAAATCCTTCCATCTTCAGTTTCTTCACTCACAATAAATCATTAGCACAAACTAAGTCAGCTGTTATAAACTTTAGAAATATTGCTATGCCTTTTCAATACAGTCTTTTAAATATTAAAGAAACTATATCTATAGGCACTATAAAAAATGTTAAACAAATAATTTAGCATTAAAGACAGCAGACAAAACTAATATGATTATCAAAGCATCAATGCCTAAACAATTTAACAGCAAATACAGTGTATATGTTTCATTGCATCTCTGATTCTACTCTACAAAAATATCAACAAACAACTTAATATACAAACCAGTTCTTTTATGTAATCAGTTCCATCTCCATTGGCTTTACATTTTCACACTTACTATAAAGTAAACATAGTAACAGATATTTCATTGATTTTAGAAACAAAAGAACACTTTGTACTGCTTAGTTTTATGATATTTTCCTTGGTTTAATTTAATCAGTGGTGTGGCAAAACACAAATAATAAATGTATCAAATAAAGTAAATGTGAACTGAAAGCTATGTTAAGATAAAATAAGAGTATTTTGTATTACCATTTGATAATTAATAATTATAGTTACATACAACAGATTTAAAAAAAAATCAACACAGTACAATTTAGTTATTGATGATATTCTTTAGTTTAATTTATGCATAGGTTTAGCAGAACACAATAACTTAATTTACCTAAATATACATATAAAAAACAATGTGATGTGCAAGTTATGTTAAGTTAATCTAACACATGTTAAGGAGTTGGAGTTAGAATTTATTTAAAGTAGCCTCCAAATTCATATAAAATATCTATACATTGTAATTTTCATACTGTTTCCATCAAATCACATTAATAACATTATTTTCATAACTTAGACGCTTAAAAAAAATCCAAAGCAGAGCCGGAGTTGATACAGCAACGGTTATAGAATCTTTTTTCATATAATCATTGACATAGTTTTAGAATAAATAATCCATGATAAAAGGTTAGATTAAAATAAACCTACCTCATAGTTATGGAAAATATTATATTTAATTTCTTTGTATCAGCTGTCTGAAATTGTGAAATATGCAGTTTAGCAGTTCTTCTTGTTTACATTTAAATGACAAAGCAAATGTAAACAAACATTGTTAAGTGTTCTCATCTGCAGCCATGGAGACTAATCAATATTTACTTTTAAAATCTTCACCTCACAACCTTTAAAGCCAAAGGGGCGAAGCCTACGGTCAGTATCGAAATGTGAATAGTCCTATAATGGTCCTCGGTATGGTAACTATATTTTTGTAAAATTTTAGTCCAGTTTGTACAGTAGCTTTTGCACCTATTAGTAATACACATACAGACAGACACCATTAGATTTTTATATAATAGTATAGATTTATTTATTTATTTACAGATGGAAAACTCCATTTTCATATACTGTACATACAATGATGGCAAGACGATACATTCAGACTTACTTAATACATGTCATACATAACAAACATGAAGATGACCTGACTAAAAAACCCTAATAAATAAGAATGTATCAGAAATATATCAATATCTATATAAATAAAATTACAGTTTTGTCTGTACATTGCTTAGAATCATGCAGTTTTTGGTTATTTTTACGTTTCATAGCCTAAGAAAGCCGAAACGAGTCTTATCTCAATTTCTGTCTGTTTGTCCATTCTGTGGTTCCGTCTGTAACGCCAAAATGTCATTTTACGCGGCCTACTCCTAGAAAACTAGAGTACCGATCAAGGTTCTAATCACTTTTCTGTATTTACTGGATTGATGAGAGTGTCTTTGGCTTTAAAAACATGGCCTCGCTTCTTGGATAACAAAATAACGAACCATCAAAAACCCAATTTTGTTTAATTTTTGTCAAATTTTCTCCCAATGTTTACTATTAAATTTTATGAAATAACGATCATCTGTTTGGATTAGTTCTCACTTCTAGCTGTCACTGATATGTTTACATTAAAAGTTGTTTATAAATACCGCAACCATTTCGATCAAGTTTTGTTATCACATCCAAACCAAGTGAGACCGGTCTAATTATTCGCAAGTGCAATGATTGTTCTTGAGTTTTGATAACCGGGGAAAATACAGTGAATCAGTGTTGTATTAGTGCTGGGAAACTTATATGTTCTTAATCATCGTCACCAATAGCTTACAAAAAAGGTTTCCACTCATTGACGGGACGGCGCTTCAATGACAGTTGTGTAAAGTACAAAATAAAAAATCACAACTGCAGTGGGTGATCGTGGATGTTGCTGCGATCTTGGAAGATCTTTCTGATTTCGCTGTGATCGTAACAGAGGTTTAACTTACAGATGTAGCTAAACTCGCTTTTCCAATGTGTCACTTTTGGTTTCTACTTACTAACATTTCGACAAAGATATCGGTACTTTTCCTACTTAGGAAGTAAAATTGCAATCGTCCAAAACCCCAGATTTGTGCATTTTTGTCACATTTCCTCCGAATGTTTGCTATGTATAGGTATGTACCGATTATCGTTTAGAGATTACGTAATCTTTCAAACAAGAAACCTTTGTTTGGGTAAAGGTGGTTTCT